ACAATCGTCTTGTTAATTCTGTTGAGCACTAATCAATAAAATCAATAAAAGTATTATTTTTTATCCTCTAAACTCTGTGTGGCACAGCGGTATGTTTGCGGACTTACAATGCTAGAATCCGGGTTTCGATACCCGTGGTAGGCAGAGCACAGATAGCCCATTTTGTAGCTTTGTGCTTCATTACAAAAACAAACAAACTACACTCTGCAGAATATTAGGTTATTTATAGAGGCGAAATAAGAAACACAGATATATAAATTACATTAACTGGTTTCACTAATTACATGGTCTTACGTCTTCAAAATGTTGAGCTCGGGAAGATCAGGAGAACAGTAATATATCAGCCTTCGGTTTAGTATATTAGACAACTCTTATATTGTTTGTTTATTGTTAGGCACAAAGCTACACAATGGGCTATCTGTGCTAGCTAATTAACATCAACCACCGTCAATTCTTGGCCTACTCTTTTAGACCGAATAGCGGGATTTGACCGTCACTCTTAGTGCGGAACGCGATTTATTCTTATTTTTTGGCGGTAACGGGACGCGAATCACGGAACCTCAGCTACACAATCTGGGACGCTCGGCCTTAAAATTTTTTTTGTAAAGATAATTTCGTTGCATTTCCACAACAACCCTCCTAAGAAGATTCTAGGTGTTACATTCATGATGTTAGAAAAACACGTAGGTTCAAGAAGTCTTGACAGAAATGAATAAAAACCCTATAACCCGAGCGCTTTCGAAACGTGGGCCTTTCTTCTTCAGGGGCAAATTGTCTTAGGAGTAGCCTAAGAGTTGGCGGTTTGTGGTGTTGACTAGCTGCCTTCCTCTAATCTATAATTTAGAAATTAGGAGCTGCTAGCGCAGATAGCCCTTGAGTTGTTTTGCGAGAAATTCAAAATAAAGAATATTAATCTCTAAGTGCATCACACTTCTTCCCCCACCCCCTCACTTTTCTATATTTTTCACTGGTCTTCTTCCATAAGAATAGTCACTGTTTTCTGAAATGTAAAATATATATTTTACGTTAGCCGAAGTAAAAAAAAAAGTCACTATAAATATTTGCGATCTGTATTGCTATGTTCTCATTATATTATCCCAGAGTTACACAAAGGACAACCTGTGCAAAGTCGTTTCAAATTTCGAACTGACAAACTAGACAGAAGTCAGCTCATCAACAGCATTCATCCCAACACTTGTGTTACCCTCGTCTAATCCAATAGCCGGATTTAACTGTCACTCATATACCAACCGTGGCTTCGTACTTTGGACTCGTAGTGGAATGATTGCGAGTTCGAGGCTGTCCCGCGTCATGTTTTTTGTGTTGTTGGGCAAGACACTTTACCCCACTTGCTCCAGTCTACCCACCTGTTAGTTGGGGAGAACCTGCCATCCTGTCCAGGAGTCCCAGCGTCATGTTTTTGTGTTGTTGAGCAAGACACTTTACCCCACTTGCTCCAGTCTACCCACCTGTTAGTTGGGGAGAGTCTGCCATCCTGTCCAGGAGTCCCAGCGTCATGTTTTTGTGTTGTTGAGCAAGACACTTTACCCCACTTGCTCCAGTCTACCCACCTGTTAGTTGGGGAGAGTCTGCCATCCTGTCCAGGAAGAATGAAGCGGTCATCATTCTCATTCGCTTATGCAACTCGAAACCGGAGATCAAAAGTAGGGCAACGATTTAACTTTTTAACGGTCCCGAGGTACTGTGAACCGTCTGATCTACTGTCTTAACACGTTAATCCTGAGTTACGCCAGGCCTTTCTTGTACGTTTAATCTTTTTTATCATTGTTTAAATAATTTTAAACTACAAATGGTCTCCACAAGTGGGGGAGCAAAGTGAAAAACAAGCGTTACAAATATAGCTTCATTTCAATTAAACCATAAGCTGATAACATTACGTCAGTCTTATGTTTTTTCTAAAAATCGTTTTTGTATGTAATTAACAAGGTTTTCATACATGAACAAAATGACTCGCTAGTATAAAAACAACAGTAAACGGTCACAATCCTAAACATGATATTTATTTTATATAGGCCTGGCTAAATTAGGAACGGCTAGCGCCAGATGGCTCTCGTGTAGTTTTGCGCGAAATTCCAAACAAACCAAACCAAGTCTTCTAAGTAACCTCAACTTCTTGAGGGGGGGTACTGGTCCCTAAAACGGTACGTCATACACATAACCAACATTTTCATCGACGTTGACTACACGAATATTACAATCTTCACCATTCAACGTCGTTAGCCCAGCGAATATTACATAGAATTATAACAGAGTTATTTCTTACGAAACTGAAACGTTCTCAATGATTCACTTACTGTGAACTTCTCTGGTCATTCTTCGTCGATGCATAATAGACTTTAATAAAGACGTCTCTTCTGACTTCCACGACATGTTGTAGAGAGGAGTTATGAGATCAAAATACGAGTAACAAAACTATACTATGACTCATGTACGTTGAAGCGTAACTAACCGCTACATGACGTTTACGTAACGCTCGTGGCAGTTCCGAGTTTCTCTATCATAAATGTAATACGGCTCTCTTTCTTATC